TGGGCAAGCTGAGCTTTTCATTTTCAACTCATCTCAAAAGTGAGGCAGATTGGGATGAGCTCATTTTTTTAACGGGTTGATGGCGAGCATAGGCGGGCTGAGACATGTCAATGTAAAACAGGTTCAGGTTAGAGGCCAACCCGCCAAACTGGGCGGGGCCAAGGCAGACTGAGTTTTTCAGCTCACTTTCAAAAGCAGGGCGAAACAGTTGACTCGTTTTTTGGCGAAATGGGACGGGCCGCCAACTTTGTCATCTCTATATATGAATGCGAGTAGTTATTTTCTTTACAAAAATTAAAATTAAAATAAAATTTAAGTGAAATTAAGCATAAGAAAAACAATACAACTAAATGATTCTTTTTTTTCAACTTTAACAAATAATATTGTAAAGAACCAATTAAGTTATTAAGAAAGGCTTACCAATGAATTCTTATATTATTTCTCTAACATAATCCCCCAAATAAGAGTCTTTTAGATTTAAAATGTGGATATTATACACGCCAATTTTTTTTGTTCCATCTTATACTTACTTTTTTGTATATAATTTATTTTATACTTATTTAATTCAACTATAAATATTTGTTAGCGTTAGTGTTACGAAATACTAAAGATATTTTACTGATATATAGACTTTTGAACTCATCTTAGTTTGTAGCAAGGCCAAAAAACAACACTAACTTAAGCAACTTAACAACATCCCCTGAGCACCTTGCTTAATAATGTTGTTGTAAAGAAATAAATTAAAAGCTAAAGTTGTTAGGTGATATTATATTAATGATTTTATATTTTTCTAATATGTCATTTCACATGAGAGTTTACTAAGCTTGAAAGTTAGTGCACACTAGGGTTGAAATGTGGACAATGCTGATACCACATAAAAATTCATTTCAACCTAAAAGCTTAAGTTGTTGGGTGAAATTGCATTAATAATTTTATATGTCTAAAAAATTAAGAAAGTTTTTCATATCTAAATATCTGTCAGTTACGTCGCACACCAAAAATTGAAGATTTTTCAAAGGTGTGTTCTTGTGTTTTTTATTTAGGTTTGATGTTTATCATATTATGGAGATAAAATTATTTTCTACACACACATAAAAATATGTGAGACTCATGTGAAGCCATGTGAAGAGAAGATGACCTGGATAAAATACAATAGGCCCACCAAGGGCTAAAACCCAAAGATTAAGGCCCAAAAACATAGGGCCCAAATAATACGCGATATCTCCATCGCGCATAAAGAATCAAGGGGTGCGATGGATTCAGAGTTAAGGAAATGATCAATAATACGAATGAGGAGCCACCGAGCCATAGAACCAATACATGAAGGACAGCTCCAGCTTGCCACCACTCTACCAAGATAGCTTGACATATAGAGATAAGGCCAGAAAGACACCAGCTGAACCTGCAGCCCTTAAACAGCCAATCAGAAGACATGCCGCCTACAAAAGGCGGCATCAGATTCACTATATAAACAAAGGGTACATACCCAGGTATGATCATTTAATTTAGTAAGAATACAACATAAGCCTAGCTTTGATACTGACTTGAGCGTCGGAGTGTCATTGCAGGTACCTACCCCAGTCGGAGTCATCACACCAAAGGAGAATTATATCAATCTCTCCACTAACAGCCATCAATAGCCCAAGAAGTAGATAACCAAACCCAAAGTCTTCTATCTTTAACCGAGTGTGATTAGGCTCAATACATATTGGTCTACCCATATAATATTGGTCTGACCAGAAGAAAAAAAAAAAAGAAATATCTTATAACATGAAAGACATTAAATTTTTTTTTATTCAAATTCTTAGTATTCAAAAAGGGTTAGTTTTTGCTGTAGCAAATACAAATCTTTCTTTTCTGTTACATACACAAAAAAATGAGACCAATTGATTTTTTTTAAAAAAAAAAAATCAAGATTCCATGTTGTATCCTTGTATTGTTATGTGTTGTTGGAGAAGTTCTAACATTGTTGCTACAGAATTTATTTATTTTGTGCAACCAAAAAAGAAGTATATTTCCCATTGAAAAATTACTTTGGATCTTGACTGACTTGTGTCAAGTAGGGCAGCTTTGTACGATAAAAGTCTCACCCTTTTTCCCCCAACCGTATGACTTAAACCAAAGGCTTTTTTTAAAGAAAATCGAGCTTCCTTATCCCTCGGATGAACAAATATTGGGGTTCCTGTGATTTTAAAGCTAAGATTTATTAAGTGACTTCGATTGACCGGCTATTTGATAATTTTACCCCTTATTAATTAATTAATAATTATTTTGTTCCTGATTTAAAACTATCTACCAATCTGCTCCTCTTTAATCGACTACCTTGCATTTTTAATCGACTAAATAGTTGTTGGGAGATTTAATCGACTAAATCTCTTTACTTAATCGATTAAAAAATCATACTGACTTGTTTTTCTTTGTTGTCTTTTGGGAGATTTAATCGACTAAATAGGGAGATTTAGTCGACTAAATCTCCCAACAGCCATTTTTGCCTGTTTTGACCATTTAGTCGATTAAAAATGTAAGGTAGTCGATTAAAGAGGGGCAGATTGGTAGATAGTTTCGAATCAGGGGCAAAATAATTATTAATTAATTAATAAAGGACAAAAGGGTGAAAAAGCCTCGATTGACCTTTGTTTTTCTTCTTAATACAAGATTTTTTATATAAATATTTTCTAAATCTCCTTACTTAATCTCTCTCCAAATTTCGTCACTAAAAGTGCAAGTTTCTCCATACAAGAATACTTCAAAGAAAACATATTTGGTAGAAGATTTTTTTTTTTCGAAAGAAATATAATTATTGGGAAAATGGTGTGAAAGATGGGAAAATGATTTTACTAGAAAAATTAAAATAAAATTATTTGGTAGGTCAAAATATTATTAAAAAAAATTTAGTGTAAAATTGCTATAAGTTTGAGTTTGTTGAGAAAATTAAAATACCACAATCAAGGTGATATTCCCCAGTGGGCATTTTCTTTCATTTTCATACTACAAAAGTTTTCTAAATCAAATTTTTTTTCCTACGCAAATGTTTTCTATTCCATACAAAACATGGTCAACTGTGAATCTCATTTACCACTTTCCTAGTATTCTCAAAAAAATTCCACCGACCAAACACTCTCTATAGGAAACAAGAAATGGATGGTTATATTTATTATTGTTTTAACCTTAGCATCCTTACTACTTGTTTGGTTATTGTTAGATTAATTTAGAATCAATTGTTGTAAAAGAAAAAAAAATTAACAACAATTGATTTCAAATTTCAAATTAATCTAATAATAATCAAATAAGTAGTAAGAGTGATAAAACTAAAATTATAATAAGTATAATATTCTCCCAACAAAAAAACACTTGGGGGGATGACTGTTAATAATCATTAATAACGAACAAACTATTTAGTTGACTTAATAACGTGAAACAAAATTCTTTTTACTATCGGCATCAAGTATTTTGAATGAGTGACCTAAATTTTTTACCAAAATAAAAAAATAATAATAGGTGATCTAAATGTCACATTTTTTCAACTTTTTTCTCCAAATATCACGTGAATAGTATTTTTTATCAAACTGTCACGCATCCAAATTTGCTATCAGTCATAGCGAACTTGATTAGGCCACGTGAGCCGTGACACATTTCCATTAGCGGTACCAAGTTTCCTATCAGGCATAACGAACTTAGTCGTCTATGATTTCGTAACACGTGCATACTTTGTAAAAAAACAGTTGACTAAACTAAGTTTGTTATAATTGGTAGCGAACTTGGTACACTAATGAAAATGTGTCATGTGACCTAACCAAGTTCGTTATAATTGATAGCGAATTTAAACACGTGACAGTCTGATAAAAAATATTATCCGCGTGATATGTAGGCAATTTTTTTTTAAAAATGTGGCAATTTAATCACTGTTCTAAATATTTTTTTGTGATGTATCTCTAAAACTTCTATAAAATTTATTATCGCACATAATTAATTCCATTTCAATTTTTTGCATAATCACATTTTTATTTTTTCACTTTATATAAACATAAATAATATCCTCGGTGCTTACGTTTATCAAATATTATTCAATGATATATGGGTTCGCTTTTTCTACCGTCAACGTAGATAACTTATCTACATTGAATCCAAAACGAGGTCGTTTTGAGGCGAAAATCAAGGCATTTTTGTAATTATAATTTATTTCAAGGTTATAATAGTCTTTTTCATTATAATTTTTTAAATTTTCAACCCAAAACGACGTCGTTTTGGGATTAAATGTAGATAACTTATCTACATTCACTTTAGAAATATTAAAACCATGATATATACTAGTAACTAGGTCGAACTTAACAAAAATTTAACCCAAATCATTTCGATACTTCGATTTTAAAAGATTATACGTTTGTTTTTTTTTTAAGATATTTCAATCAATTTATCGTTTCGCGACTAATTCAATTCGGAACAGATCCCAAAATTAAGACTTTAAATCCCTCTTAAAAATACGAGTAAATGCCATTTTTAGTCCTCAGCAAATTTTAAGATGCCCGCTTTAGTCTCTAGCAAATAAAATGGCTATTCATTGTCTTTAAGAAATTCAAAATGGACCAATTTTAGTCTTTTTAAAGGACTAATATAAGTCTTTTTGGAATTTGTGAGAGACCACGATTTCAACTAAATAGGTCTATTTTGAATTTCTTAAGGACCACGAATAATCTTTTTATTTGCTAGAAACTAAAACAGGTATCGTGAAATTTAATTAGGACCAAAAAAGAATTTTACTCTAAATATAATATTACGGAGAATCAAACAACATATTCTTATCTCAATCTACTCAATTTCTTAGCATCAAAACTCATCATTTGGTAACTCATCATTTGGTAAGATTATCTGTTTGAAAACCACAACTGTTGCACTAATAAAATCGCCAAGGGATTCATTGGATATAAATTCAAGTCATTAATCTTTTTAGAAAGCACTTGAATTGAAGCAAAAAAAGAAAAAGAAAAAGTAATGAATAAATTATGATTGTTAAATAAATCAAATCATCTCCATTTTGGGGAAAATCAACAAATGTACACTGTACTCATCACTAAACAGGATGCAATAATAGACCAAAAAGGGAAAGGAAAAAAAAAAAACAAGTAGCCCTAAATTTAAAATTTCACACAACCATAAGCTGCGAATAACCTAAAGCGGGAAGGGGAGATAACGGCGGTACGGTGAAAATCCCCTGAGCATCACTGTCCCAAAACCCGGTCCAAATAGACGGCGTTAACGGAATCTCCCTATTACAGTTCACGTCTGATTCCGTCGTTTTCTCCTTTTTAACCACCGGCGTCACTTCCACCTGCTCCTCCTCTTCACGGCGACGTTTTCTCTCGCCGTCGTTGGAAGGCACCACCTCCGCCGCCGCAGCGCCAACTTCCAGAGGGAAGTTGAGGATAGCTTTGGAGCCGCGAAGCTTGAACGCGGCTCGGTCGTAGGCTTTGGCGGCTTCGATGGCGGTGTCGAACGTTCCAAGCCACACCCTTGACCCGCGCTTGTTCGGGTCACGGATCTCAGCTGCGAACTTTCCCCACGGCCTCTGTCGGACCCCTCTGTAGTGCTTCTTCTCAACGGGATCCGGTTGGTTCTGCACGATTACCTCCGGAGCCTCGGGATTCGGATCCGGGTTTCCGAATCGGATCCACTCGGTTTTCTTCGGGAGAGAGATTTGCAGCGACGGTTTCCGATTCAGTTGAGGTTTCTTCTCGACGGTTTGATTTGGTGTGGGACTCGATGTTACTGTTTTAGGGGTTTCGATGTCGATTACTTGGGGTTTGGACTCAAATTCGAAGAGGGGAATCTGAGTTTCCGTTTCGAGGAGATCAGAGAAATAATGATTCAAAGAGATGGAAGAGTCAGAAGAGGAAGAGAGTGACTCAGATTGAGAGGGGCTAGGGTTTGCTTCGTCTAATTCGAACCATGGTTTTTTGTTTTGGGCAAACTCTGAAGTACCCAGCGGTGAGAGTTCACCTAAAAGATGCAACTTGATGCGATTCAGAGCTGAAACTTCAACTGGGTTCGCCATGAGTTATTACTAAAATTGAAGTTATTTTTATTAATAAACTGAAGAAGAAGCTAAAGTTTTTAAAGAAATTTAGAGAAGGATGAGAGAAGATTGGTGTGTATATGTTCAGTGGAAAGAGGTATATATAATGGGGAAAATTGAGGCTGAGACTTTCAACTGAGGCGCTACGATGCAAGCAGGAAGCATCGTTTTTTCCTTATCAATTATTCTTCGTCGTCACTCCTCATCATCTCATTAATGGGTTGAATTTTCCTACGCTAGGGAACACCTTACTAATCTTGCTCCACCTCAAACGCATCTCATTTTTTTAGAGGTAATTCATTACCCACTGTTTCACTGTGTTTGTCCTTTCTGTTGTCGTTACTTCAAAGGTGTTCCTTTAAATAATGAGAAAACAGTATAGCGCCTTTGTACTTATTGACTGTAAGGTTTTTTTATATTTCAAGTTTTGAATATAGTATGCTAATTGATAATTTTTTTTTTTTTTTTGGATAACTGCTAATTGATAATTAGATCTAGATGTCTTTATTTTCAGAAATTCGAGGAGTTCAAGAGAGTGAAACATGGACTTGTATTTCGTCACCTGGTTCACCTACAGCATGGCTCTAACGTGCAAGCAAGTATTAGTTTCGGTGACTTAGCTATTACATGGGTTAGTGTTTTTGTATTATACCAGATAATTTTACTTTTTTTTTTATATATATATATATAAATATATGATAGTTATATTTTTCTCTTCTCTTATATGATCCCTCATAGGTCATATACATTTTTATATATGTGTAGGAAATAATTTTATCTCTTATAATATAAGAAATATTAATCCAATATATATATATATATATATATATATATATATATATGGGGTTTGCATTTGTCATTTAACATAACACAACAAACTTTCTTACACACACAATATTTGTGGGGCACACACTTTTTGAAGAAAAAAGAAAAAAAAAGAAATCACGGCATGCAAAACGAATCTCTATAACATTACACAATCACTTGTCCTACAAAATAACTCTTATAAAACCCTATATATATATATATATATATATATATATATATATATATATATATATATATGGACTTACGTTTCTCAAGCTGCTTGAAAAAATCTAAATCTTATTTTTGACTAGTAAATTATAGCTGTACAAAGATGGATTAATGGTGATAAAGGAAGAGAGAAAAAAAGGAATCAAAACCAAAATAAATAAATAAAAACGACGTAGTTTTGAGGTAGCTAGAGATAAACTTATCTCAAGCTGATTTAGAAATATTTTTTCGACTTTATCTCAAGTATGAATATTCGACTTTATGTATCATTAAACGTTCGTTTCCTTTAATTTCTGTAGGTCTGAAAGACTTTTATGTTCCATCAATTATAAAAGTATAATTATATTTCTGTTTTTTTTAAAGCTGAAAAAAACAAAAAACTTAGAGATAATTGTACTTTTATAATTGATAGGACGTAGAAGTCTTTCAAAACTTAAACGTAATTGTATTTTTATAATTGATGGAACTTATAAGTCTTTCAAGCCTACAAAAATTACGCCTAAGTTTAATACAGCGTGGAGACATGATTTTCCTTATCGTGTTTTGGTTATAAACTCATTAGAGGGACAGACGAGGAAAACGAAAAGACAAAAAACAAAGGAAAAAAATAACTAAAATGGAGATCCTTGTTACTTTCTTTTTCATGTTAATTTCTCCCTAATTAAGAACGGAGATGGTTCATGATTTTAGTTTGGAGAAGTAATCTTAAATCATTTCTCCTGTTAAAAAGAAAAGGAAAATTTCCAATTTTTACAAAAGACAATTTTATTCAGAGCAGATTCAGAATTAAAATTTTAAATTCCTTTCAAATATAATATTAGAAATGATCGAATACATACTCTCACCTTCATTTGCTCAACTCTCATATATCAACTAAGCTATCATCATAAATCCTTTAAACCCGCAATTTGACACAAACTTCAAAGAAGAAATTTTTAACTTTATTTTGACAAACACTTTAATAATAACTATTCAAAGAATATAGAAAAAGAAAAAATATGTAAAAGAGCGTTTGGTACAAGGACTAATTTTGAATTTTGAGAAATTGATATTGATAATTTTATTTATTCACGTTTGTTATAAAAATTGTTAATTTTTTTGTGTGGGGAAAAACAGATTCTTAGGAATTTTTTTTTTTTGAAGTTTTTAAAATCAAAATGCTATCCAAGAATATCATCTTTTTTTTGAAGTTTTTTCAATCAAAATGCTATCTAAGAATATCATCAGGACTCACGAGGAGGGCGATATTCTTAAATTCTCATGTCACGGAAAAATTTCACACAACTTTTTGTTAGCATTATCGAAAAATTCATTTTCTCACATATTCTTAAAAATTATGACTTTTAGATATAATTTTTTTTGAGTAAATACCTTTTTTGGTCCCTGACAATATTTACAAAATTCTTTTTAGTCCCTGGCAATAAAAAAGGACTAAATTGGTCCCTAATAGTATGAAAAAAGGGTCACGTTAGTGACGGAAGAGTTGACGTAAGGACTAATGTGACCATTTTTTATTGTCAGGGACTAGAAAGGATTTCGCAGATATTGCCAGGGACCAAAAGAGTGTTTACTCTTTTTTTTTTTCATCTACCAAACGCTCTAAAAGTTTTTTGGGGGTGATAATGTCATTTGGAACAAAGTTGTTCTCGAAGTCGAAACTGTAAATGCTTAATGTTGATAGTCAGCACCGGCTCTACCACCCTTGAGTTTTTTGGTAAATTGACTTCGTCTTCCATTAACATTCAATTATATGCTCTTTTGTCGGCCGGCTGCAACGTTATTCCTAATTTCATTAGTAATTGTCTTTAGTTTTAATTTTTTTTAAATAGATAAATTGCATTTTTTTCCCTCCTAGTTTCACCAAAGTTTGATTTCCGTTTGTCTTCATTTCATTACTCTAATGCTATCTCATAATTTCTTAATTATACATTTTAGTCCCCGTGTCAGTTTGATACTCACATGGCAACTTGGCAACATGACACGCCCCCGTTGTTGATGTGTTGCAATCAAAATTAGGAGATAAAATTTAACTTTATGAGAATCTAAATAAACTAAAGTGTCAAAAAATATGGTTCAGGTTATATGGCCTCTGTTAAGACCATGGATCATACAAATTATGCACTACAAGAAATTTGTTTATTAGTGTCGCAAATTTCGTCATTACATATGAAGTTTCGTCACAAATGCCTGCGTCGCAAATTTATTTGTGACGAAATTTGATTATTTGTGTCGAAAATCATCATCTGTGACAAAATTTGTGACAAATTTTTTTGTCACAAATAAACTTTTTTCTTGTAGTGATGCTTTGTCATTTTATGGAGAGAAGCTTTTTGTTTTGGCTTTCTTGGACCGAGCTTATATCCTTAATGGCCGAACATGTTTCTGAAACAAATTAATTGAGCTCTCGTTTAATTATTTTTTATAAATTTTAAATAAATGAAAGGTGATGAAGTAGTCAATGTTCGTAGATTAACGAGTCACCCGAATCTGTTTGTGTCTTCAAGCCTGTTTCAACCACTCTATTCTTTATTATTATTAAGGAACCACCAAAGGATGAGAGGGTCCCGGTTTGGCTCATTCGTTTTTGAAATTATGTTCCTAACTGAAAGTTAGTGAAGTCGAATATATAACTATGTTTTTGCCGAGTCTTAAACACGGAGAGAGAGAGCAGTTATGATCGTAGAATAGGCTTCATAACATAAATTTGAGGTCGTTTATGTCTTTATACATGACTCTTAAATGTCTTGCTCTAGTTGACCTGATTCGTCATCCATAATCTTGGGGGTTGGCATTTAATCTTTCACGAGAAAAGTAGTGACAATTTCAACAGCTGAATATTGAAAATGTCAGTGAGTTTTTATTGAGGGTTTCTCCTACAATAAATTATCAGACTTATACTTTTCAATGCAAATTAATTCATTGATTGTGCATCGAGCAAGTTAATTGTATAGAAATAAAGAACTTGGATGGAAATAAACTAGTCAAATATTATAATTGGTATGAGTTATTTATAAGAATAAGAAGTCTTATATCAAATCTCGATATCTAATTTATTTGAATATAATAATTCTCATATAAATAGATCAACAATAAAAAATAAGAATATAACTTACACAGACATAAAATGATGACAACTCTTATTATTATATGGGAAATACTAGTCTCTTACAATATGAACCTGATGTTTCCCTTTGGAAACTAAGTTTTTGAAAGCTTTCTTCCTCTGCCCATTCTGGAAAGCAGAAGGGGCACTTGCCACATAGAAGGGGCCTGATTGATTTTGTGTTTTCAAAAACAGTTTTTAGTTTTTAAAAACAATAAAACAAAAAAATTTGTTTGAAAACCTGTTTTCATGCATCCTGTTTTAAAAACCGTGTCTGCTTTTTAGTTTTGGAAATCGAAAAAGAAAAACAAGTTTTATATGTTTTCCAAAGTTGTTTTGTGGTTTTTAGTTTTGTGCAGTGGCAATTTGGTAAATAAGGGGATTCATTAATGGCATTTTCGTAATTAGATCGATTTTTTATTTTATTTTAAATTATTTTGCGGTGGTATTTTTGTAAATATGAGAATTCATTAACGTCATTTTTGTAAATAATTACATCTTCTTTATAACTTTTAAACTAACCATATTCAAACAAGTTTTATTGTTTTTTTACTCTCAAAATCAGTTTTCAAACTTCATTCTTAAAACAGTTTTTTAAAAACAAAAAAACAAAAACACATTCAAACACACCCAAGGTTTTTATGATTCTTGTAAGTTAAAGGGAATTATTTCTATATTCTATCCATTGGAATGCCTATTTTCATGGATAACAGTGTCCTTACAAGTGGGCTAAATTAGGTATTTTATATTTTATATACTACTCATAATAATCATCTCTCTCTCCTCAACCAATTTCACCCCATTTTATTGGTTAAATAGACTTTTTTTAAATGATTTTGTTTTATATTATGTTATTTGGATATACACTGAATTTATGAATCTTAGTGGAATTATTAGTGATGTTGATCGTATATTTTGTTTGGATAAATTTTTGTTATCTTATTTTTTTTCACAAGCTAAACCATACTTTTATTTTTTGTAAATAAGCCAGGCTATATGCCGATAATTATATTCATAACAGGCAACAGGCTAGGACAGACTGATATATTTAAACATAGGCTTAACCTTTTAAGATCAAAGTCTGGCTCGGCTCGACCCGTTAACACCCCTAGGTTAAATTA